TACAAATACGCGAAATTGAAAAATATTGCCTCCTAATGGCCTTCGCGGTGACTGCATGCTTAGCGTTGGAGCTGTAATTACAGTAAATGGGGGAAGTGTATTACAATTTATATTGAAAATTACCATTTTGCTGGACGTGCAATGAAACGCGTTTGTTCTTATAATTCTAGCAACAAGAATCCTACCTTTCCCCTCCAACCTGTACTTCCTCAAACAGCTCGCAGGTTCCCAAGACGTCAGGTGTCAAACTATTGGCTGATGTTTGAATAGAACCACCACATGCTTTCATAGTTCTCTTGAGATCTTCTTCAGCCACACGACCTGCACAGAACATATCCCTAATAAAATGATATAAAACGATATACAGTAGCGTGATTTCCGAAACGTGCACGGGATCCAGGAAGTGATACGACTAATTAGTAATTTGATAATTTTTTTTATACAGTTATATATATACTCCTTCATACGATTAGAAGCTATTTTAAATTTCCAGGAGTAGAAAAGGTTGTACAGTACTTAACAAGAATAGAGTTATTTATTCAGGTCTCGTTTTTCAATACACCCTGTATTTGACGCTTCCGTAAGTTCAACATAATGCTCAGGCATTTTTCCGGGACACCCTGTATAGTACTGAACGACATAGTAGACATACAAACAAAAATAAACATTAAGACCCATTGACCCAAACAGACCCTATAAGTCTTAATACAAAGTGCAGTTTGCTTAGTTAGAACAAAAAATATTTCGTTTCGAATGTCGTCCCACGGGTATAATTCATCCCACTCCAAACCAGACTCATTTGAAGAGCCCATGGCCATGGTAGTATTAGATTCAGTTGTTTGTGTCGGAATTATACGTAACTTGCCATCTTTATACCAAAATCGTATATGACTGGTCAGTATACTAGGATTGTTTCAGCCAAAATCGTATATGATTGGTCAGTTGAATGAATAATTAGCTACATAACATAGTATACCTGTCTGCGAAGTACTGGGTAGCAACATCACCAATGGGCAGTTTAGATAAGATAACTTGAGCTCCACTCTTGACTAACTTTTCCAGTTTATCATACAAGATATCCCATTCAGCATCCACAATTTGTTGATAATCCTGCCAGTAAATACAGTATGTCACTATGTCCGTTGTTCATTGAAATACAGGGTGTGGGTATGAAACGTCCTAGTCTATGTTATAGAATCTAACTCGATTCCTTGTTGGGATATACATACAGGGCGTCTCAAAAAAACGCAATGTAAATTCACCTGGCTGTCGTGCATCATAAACGTGCCTAAACAATTCAATTTTTACACATAGGACGAAAGAACAGTACGTTATTTAGCTTTTCAATGATACGCTTTTTAAATCGTAACGATGAGAAATGGCCACATACTCGTCAAATAAAAATTGCCATATCATACATACCTCAACGGTGTTTACTCTGACTTCAGCATTCTCTTTCTCAGACTTGAGTTCAAGCTCAATATTGAGGAGAGCTATTTTAGGATTGATATACTTCTTCGGTTGCATTTCAAATCCAGCATAAGAAAATGACTTCTTGAAAGCTACGCCTGCAACTAGTTGAGTATCCTTAAGAAAGAAATGAAAACAAAATACTTGTATCACTTGTAATTCAACATTTAACAAATGTGCAATGTGCAGAGGACGAGCAAGCGTATTGAAATCCACGCTGTAGGTTTTCAGAATGACAGTCATTACGGTACCGCTTTCGTTTTCACAGCGACTTACTTATTGTACGCACACGAAGTACACTAGTAATATGGTCTGGTACTTTTTCAGCCGAGTACTACGTAAGCCACACAGAACTGTTGCTGCAAGGGCACTTTTATTACCGGTACTGTATAACCAGACCTTGGCATGAAACATTATTTGACTGATGGGATGAGATGGGAATAAGGAATTTGGAGTCCATTAGCCTTTCTCACGAGTCACGCCGCCATTTTTGGGTGGCATTTCTGCCGAAGTCTGCGAGATAAGTCCACATAACAGCGACTTTTTATAATTTTTTGGACGAATGATGGTAAATTTGCTTTGTGAATGGTTACTTTATTTTGAAAAATTGCTTTTCACATTGTTTTAATTGTCTGCATTGGTTAACGAGAATTAGGTGCATGCCACCCAAAAATAAAAAATGGCGGATATTCGTCATCGTGAAAAAGGCTAACTGTATTTGTTGTATAATTATGCAAGTGTGCTCCTTCTTATTTTAACTCGTAGTTACTGAATGTACTTCATCTTAAATTCTGAGTACACCTTGAGTCTAAAGCTTGTACCAGTCAGTTGTGCATACTGTATATCTGCAGCAAGAACATCAGTCATTCGGCCTACTGTATGAGAAAAAAAGTGAAGCGAAGATGGTCGAATTGACTTCGAAACAGTTTTAATACCATTCTCCCCCACACGAAAGTTTGCCACACTCATGTTAACCGCGCAGACAAAAACAAGGGACTGGACGTCAGTTTCAGCCATCTTTGGCTTCACTTTTTGGACGCAAGTTCTTATTCCAGATACAGTATATAATACACAGGCTACGGGTTTGTACTATCAGCTTATAAAGTACGCCACAATAGCCATCAGAGTACCAGCGAGGTAAAGCCACAGAACGATTAATAGTTGTGTATTCCTGCCTCCACAAATTTGAAAATGGCGGATTTTACAGGGCACTTTGACTCGCCCCAGACTCCTGCGGCAGGAAATTCCGCGCGGTTGCGAGAAGTGCAAATTGGGGTTTTTCCAGCAAATTTTGCAAAAAGAACTGCTCTGTTTATACTTTGTAATTCTTACTCCAAGTCAAATTCAATATGGCAGATTTGAAAGGGCACGCATGAAAAAAAGTACGCATTGTATATCTATTATTTTGATGGGTACAGTTAAAAATAATGAATTATCTTCACACAGCTTGAACAGGTCGCTCATCCTGAAGCAATCATTATGGAAAAGTGCATTTAAATTTGTGCATCAAAGCATACTAGATAAAGTACTGTATATTCTCCACTGTACAGTACCTCTAGTGCACCTCCAGAAACTTTCTTCATTCCAATCATATTGAGAGGCAATAGTTCATCCAACAACATCACCGCATCCACCACCATTTTAGAGAAGAAGTCTTTCTGATTGGCTATCAATTTTGAACTCAATGCTGTGGCTGCACACTTCTCCAATAAACCTCTCATCTCACTTCAAAATAATATCAGAGTATACAATATATTTTGTGTACAAAACTGACTACTATACAGCTGGTGGGTTTCTTTAAGTACCATCAAATTGCGGATAGTGGTCAAACAATTGTTATAAGAAAATCCTAGGGTACAACAATACGCGTACATATGCATGCATAGTACCAGAGGTACGCCAATATTATGGTCTGGTACAAGCCGCAAACTTAACGCTCGCAAACTCGCGACTCAGTCTTAAGTTTATACCAGCTTGTATTGTACTGTACGTGGCAATAATTATTGGAGTAATCAGCAATCAGTGAAGTACAACTAAGAATCTTGGCTGTTGCACCCAGAATGATTATTTTTTAGAGCTAATTGTTCCTAAGAACCAAATTGGCTGTTTATATTTATAATTAGAAGCAAAACTATATAAGTGTGGTCGTGGAAATTTGTAAGAAATTGGTAGCAAAACAATTGGTAGCAAAATTCTTTATTCAATGCCATAGTTCGGTGAGATGTACAATTATATTATTACAAGCAATGAAAGCAAAAATGCCAAATGTAGTATCATTATATGAAAAATATTTTCATCAGGTGGCTTTTTATAAACTTTATGGAGCAGCAAAACTAAACCTCTCAATTTTTTGTTACAAAATGCATGCATGACTTTACTTATACTGTATACTGTACAATGAAAGTAACAAGATTTATTTAATATGGAAAAAACAGGGCAAATTTAGGACTCTGTGCTGGCTGTTTAGAGCTTCTTCAAATTACTGAATGTTACTGTAGAACTTACGTAGGATCATCTTTCTTGATTTGTACAGCAATTTCTTTAATTTTATTGATAGCCTAAAGAAGTTTGAAATACAGATTTCATATGAATTGACTATATATGACATAATGAACAGTCATGTATACCCAATATATGTTTAAATTTGTGGCAATGCACCCTGATGCACCCTACTTTAGGTATTTTGCTCTGTCTAACGCCAGGCGATTTTACTCCTCAAGTGGAGAGTGCTGCCACTCAATGGGATAACATGTAAATTTTCCCCCAAAAAACACAAAAGACCTGTGTAAAAATACTAAAACAATTATTCGCCTCAGGCTCGGTGATTATCGGTGAATACACCTTGCCTTCGGCGAATAATTGTTAAATGTATATTTTACCCAATATCAGATATACTGGTATCCGACACATCCCTAGTTTAAAAAAGTTTAACATCAGTTCCTATGCATTACCTTGTTAGCTGTATGTACGAGTATGTTCAATTTGATAATATTATCAGCACCAGTTTAGCCCCATGCACCCTACTTTCTATTTTTCACTGACAATTTGACAAATTACAGATAATTTATATTACATTATTGGGTAAATTAACATCTTAATTGTGCTGTTAAATATTTGCATATTTAAACAGTACAATTACAGTTTAATGTACATTATTATTCAAATACTTACAAGGTTCACTGCTTTTCTGTAACTTTTTATGATAACCTGGGGGTGAACACCTTCCTCAACAAATGGTTTTGCCATTCTCAAAAATTCACTTGCCAGTAAAGTAACACTTGTCGTCCCATCTCCAACCTAAACAAGAAATTTTAAAAGGTTTTGTACGCATTGGGGTCAAAATAGCATATATTGTCTGCCAATGGTTAAAAGCAGTCCATATTCCATATTTGAGAAATGGCAGGCAAAAATAGTTTAGTTTGAACTGCTAGGCTAGAAAATTAACATGGCAGGCAAAATTCTACAGCTTGGCCCAGTTTATGATAGAGACAAACCCTCCCAAACAATAACTGTATACAACATTTTCCCCGAGCCGGCGGCGCGAAGCGCCGTGCGAGGGTACTAATTCCCCCCGGCTATTTACACCCGGAGAAACGAAAGCATTAGGGAAGTCTGAAGTTCATCAATGAGCGCGGGCGTCGGTCACCAACGATGGGTGGTCATCCTCACTGATCTCAAAAATATGGCGGACTGTCATTAAAAGCGGACACTGATTGGTCCAATTTAAAGTTTGCATTATAACGGCTGCATGACGACAGCGAAATAGCAAACATTTGACATTTCTTGATTTGATGAGTTGATGATTGACAAATTTCTTGCAAATATTCTTCATTTTTGCTCGTATTTCTGCAAGATTTTGTAAATTTCAAGAAAGAAAGGGCGAAAGAATCAGCTAAAAGAAGGGAGCCGACGTTAACAAAGGTAAGTTTGTTTTAAATATTGATTTTATAATGGCTTTAAAACCCGACGGCCTTTGCGTATATGAAACAACTAAACAAGACAGCATATAATTTCAGTGTATCTTTAATATTGATTCCCTTTTTTATTATATTGAATTTTTTAAATAAAAAATAAAGCAAAGTTATTTGCAAGCGAGAATTTGAAATCATTTTATTGCAAACTCAAAGTTTATCGATAAAGCCATTTAATAGTTAAAGGCAGTTTAGTTTTATAAAGAACACTTTAAAACGTTTTGTGAATTGTTTGTGGTTGAATTTTACCTTAAATTGAAGCTTGTATTACGTATAATTACATACCTAACATAAATATGTTGGGAAATTGATAATTTTGTAATTAAAAGTGATATTTTTAGGCGATTTTTCATTTGTATTAAGAATATTCTTAAAAAATTATCGTGTTACCATGACAACTACTTTAGATACTTCATGTTCGTAAAATACAACGGTTTTGTCAGCAATGCGAGGGTTTCTGCATGCATGTATTTTCTAGTTTAGTTCATATCTTGTACAGTACCTCTGCATCTTGTGATTTTGCAATATCCACCAATGTCTTGGCTGCCGGGTGAACAACATCCAACAGATTGATAATGGTTGCTCCATCATTTGAAATAGTTGCCTTGCCTAGATGTGTTTGTAATACGGTACACTATTATTGAAGAAATTAATCAGTAGAAGCCGATAATCGACAACTTTCAGGCAGATCGGTTATCAGCCGATCACATCGATATATATCGGCATGAATAAGAGGTTTACAATCCATGCTTTCACCGAAATAAATTGATTACTAAGTTGAGTAAATTCAATCATCGACTACCGATCGTAATGACATTTCTGTTACTGCTCTGTTAACTGCTGTTACATTTTGCTAGCATTTTGCCCCAATTTCAAGTGTTGGGATTTTTGTTAATAAATATCGGCTAACACTGATAAATCGGCCGATCAGATGATAAATCGGCCCATCCCTACAGCATCAACTAGTTAAAACACCAGTTTGCTTTGCCTGCATGGGATCATTGCAAGGAATCTGCTAGGGCTGATCAAGTGTCAATGCACAGTATGCACATATTGACATATATAAATTTGCTAATAAAGCTAATTAAGTTCTTTGTATGTTTGCATGGCGATAAAATATAATAATTTTGTTTGTGGAAACACCACGTAAATTTATTAGCATATTATTAGCACTGATGAAGATCCGGGCTTACGGATTGAAAGCTTTGCAGTAATAAATTTACATGGTGTTTCCACAAACTAAAGCTAATTAATTAAAGAATGCATGCACATGTAATTTCAGGTTTCTCAGCCTTGCTGTGGCATAATATACTGTAGCTTTTTCTATTGCAGCCATGCATGTAATTTAATATGCAAGAACCTTTCTTCAGCTAGCTTGAAGAATGACCTTCATTTAGGGTAGCCCACCTTAGAGCTGAAACTACCATACATTCAGCTAGAGCACTCTTACTCAGGTGTGAAACATGCATCTACAATAGCCAATAAGAGATATGGCAATGTGACACATGTAAATAATTTGTTTTTCATCAAACCACTAAATGGCCAATTCATTTCTTTTGCACGCACATTTGAGTAATCAAATAAATTATAAAAGTATATTATTTGATTTGATACTGTTCAAAAAGCATAATAGCAAGAGAAGGAACACAATTTTTTAACGTTTCCTTGGCTTTGCTATGACATCAGCAACAAAGTTATGTACATACCAGGTTTAAGACACATGCAGCCACGCAGAATATTTGAAAATAGTATCCGTAAGACCAAGAACTTTTCTGTTCCATGGACCGTTGGAGACTAGCTGCTTCCCAAAAATTAAGTAATGTGATTGATTATGCGGGAAGTGATCAGCACAATCTGTTCATGTATTGAAAAGCTGGCCGATCATTGTCAGCCAATTTGACCATGCCAAGCAACTGCACAGTTGGTCAAACATTTGTCAGATATCCAAGCAAAATTGTTATAATCTACACTGATTAGCAAGCAACATGCACTCTCAACACTTAGAACTCTGTTGTAGGTAAAGCACAAGGAATGCAGGAGATTTCTTCACATTTCTTCACATTTCCTTGCATGTACATGCAAAAATGTACATGGGAGATGATTTATGTCTCCAAAGGTTGTTATATACCATGAAAGCTGACGTATGGAAAAGTGCAGTTGACAGATACTTATTGTACTTCTCAAGATTTTATTGGCATCTCACCCAATTGAATAATTTCGAGCGAAAATTTATAATTATACATTTACTAGCCCTAACAAGGAACAGCTGCAAAAATGCAACTATATAGGTCCCTGGCAGGAATTGAACATTGCTGCGATTCCGGTGCGTCGCTCTAACCAACTGAGCTACAGCTCGGCCAACTGTCAAGCTCTAACCATAATATATACTGGGGTGTTATGGGTAAATATCAAGATCTTGTTGGCATCTCATTTGATTAAATAATACCTAGTTGAAGGGTCTTGTAAATGGAAGACTCTTCAAGTATTATTCAATCTAGTGAGATGCCAATCCAGGAATCCAGAATCCGACTTTTAATAGCTTTGCAATCCGGAATCCAGACAATGGAATCCAGAATCCAAACATCAGAGGAATCCACAATCCTTATCCTGGGCCAATTTCCTGGAATCCTGAATCCAAAACCAATCTGGAATCTGGAATCCAAGCAGTGGAATCCAGAATCCAAGGAGCAGAATCCAGAATCCAAGGAGCAGAATCCAGAATCCAAGGATCAGAATCCGGAATCCAAAGAGAGGAATACAGAATCCAAAGAGAGGAATATGGAATCCAAGGAGCAGAATCCAGAATCCAAAGAGAGGAATACAGAATCCAAAGAGAGGAATACAGAATCCAAAGAGTGCATGGATTACCTTACGTCGGCAGACCTACCAAGTCTCCCACATTTGGCGGGAGACTCCTACATTTTGGAGTCATTAATCATCTCCCTCCCACATGAACAGTTTGACGAAATCTCCCACATTCCTTGGCTTCCTAATTGTGTTTTACCTGCAACACAGTAGTGTTGGGAGTGCTACCAGAAAAAACGAACAAACTATCTAGACACAAGTCGATTGATATATGTTGCACAGCTGAGCAAGAGTGCGCTGAATACAGTCTTAAGCTGGAGTAATACGAGCAACAAAATTGCTGCAACTTGCAACAAAATCTGAATTCAACGCATGTTAATATGATTTGTAATATATGTGTAAACATTTCAATTAACATGCGTAGAAATCAGATTTTGTTGCAAGTTGCAGCAATTTTGTTGCCCGTATTACTGCACCTTTAGTTTCAAGGTTCTTGTAAACAAAGCACTCACGGCAATCCCTTGGTCCCGCTGACTCCCGCAAGAGATTTCACACGCAGAAAAATCACAAATATTGTAATCTCCCTCATTTTATGCACCACACCTTGGCAGGCCTGCATGGGGCAAAACTGGCTGTCTCCAAAACAGGCTTCCATACAAACAGCCCCTAGCTGGGACCATGCTGTCAAGTGTCACCAGGGACCACGATGCAGGTTTAATATTTATATACTTTAGCAAAACTCTAACAAACTGTAAAATATGTAAGTTTACGATCTAATGACTGATACTGTCTCAAAATACTCAAATATACTTCTTTCTAGATAATTTAGCTGTATAAATAATAAATGTACAAGGATGTACACACAACACACTTAGGTACAACACCCACCTCCGCTGTCAACAATTAACTTATCCATTCCTCTTGGTCCAAGGGTAGTTCGCACTGCGTCTGCCACATACTGACACGCGTTGATATTACTGATCAACTGAGGTTTCCCTTGAGACGTGTCTGTCCCATCCTTGAGTAAAATTATGCCCGGTTGCTGTCAAATAAAGTTTCAAAACAAAAGTTAGTGAAAAATTATTTTCGCCTGTCTGAAGGCATTTTTCTAAAAAATAAACAGTTAAAACACATATTATGCTAGCAGAAAAGTTGATATTTTAAGGATTTGTCGAAAAGATAACATTTAGATGGAATGGATTGAAATTAGTGTGAAATATTACCATGATTGTGTTTCAAACACTCCTCGTTTCTTGCAAATCCCAAAGTGACTTGATCAGTACTTCATCTTAGGCGAATATATTGCATCCCAAGCAAGGGGCATGCCGGTGACCTATATATAACATAGAACTGGACTGACACAATTACGACACGGACGATGAAGCTGGAGGAGTTCGGGGCATGCTCTCTCGAAAATATTCGGAAATGCCATTTCTCGTGCGCATCAACTTGAAGAACTACAGTATTTAAGACAACAAAATGTCACCAGAAATGAGTGTTTCATGTCAGTCGGTTTTGGTTGAATGATAGATTGGTGTGGGGTTTTTGACAGCCTTCTGCGCAGACGTTGTTAGTGGCCGAGGCCTCCCAACGTCTGCGCAGGAGGCTAGGTTTTTTATAGCCAGCAAATGAAGCATAACTGAACTCAAGAATTAAAGTCCCCCCCCCAGCTCGCCTGATTCCTACGCCAGCGCACAAAACTATACTGAAATCGCGATGCAATGAGGTCTACCTAATTTTGCCGAAGACCTCTAATAGAGGTCTTCGGCACTTTGAAGAAAATATTAAACATCAAATTATCTCAAAATTTATTTATTGCAACTGCGTGCCAATTTCCCCGACATTTTGGGGTCACCACGAAATGACACCTTTTTAGTAATTGTAGTTGTTTGTATGTTTTAATGTTTTAATAAGATTCGACAACTACCTAAAAATACAACAATGTAGTGCCAGGGAGTTCGCCACAGGTTCCCCCAATTACGGCGATCCCTTAATATTTACATAAAAATTACGTTCAAATAATTGATTAACGAAACAGACAAAGTAGAACAACACAATTACAAAACGGCTAAACTGACAGTGACTAACAACAGTTTAAAACATCATCAAGGGATCTAGCCCTTTTACATTTAACACAGACAGATAATGGTAACTTGCAATTACAACTGTTAAAAGTCGCTGTTCACGTTGTTTGAATTGTCTAGAATCTTTCACCACGGCAGAAAGTACTCCAAAAATGGCTGATTTTGGCGCCTTCGTGAAAAAGGATAATCCAATTAAATCCAATCCATAACACTTGATAACGTTCTATCATCGAAAGAGTAAAGCACAAAATATAGTCAATAAGAATCATGAAAACTATGTCTATGCCAAAGCCGCCGAAGAACTCAAAAGTGAGATTATGATTATGAAAAAGGCTTCTGCGCGCATTTTAATTAATATAAATAAAAATTATGTATACTTGAACTTTAATATTATTCTAATCGTTTTATATCACAATAATCAAGTCAATTTTATTCTATGAACTCTATTATATACCATTATTATCATTATCAGTATTTTTATTATTATTAAACCGCCGAACAGCAAGCTTCTGTTCCAACTGGGCCATTATTATAGAGGTTTCAATCAGGTCTGGATTTCACTGAAACAGCCTAATCTTCCACATAATAAACTGTCTTGCTTTCTCTCTAAAGTTCTAAACTAAAGTTTAATCAACGATGAAGGTTCTTCCAGAGTTCTTCTTACTATGGAGCGTCATGAAAGACAAAATTCACTT